GTCCTGTCGCGGAATTTTAGTTTGGTCTCCTCTGGACATAAGTCTTTCCGTCAATCGTTTTCGTTCGCCGCCGAATCTTCATTTTGGATTTCCGGCGACGCCGTTTCTTCGGGCGCCGAAATTTTCCTTGGAGACTCACGCAAAGAAGAATAAGAAGAAAACGAGTACCGTTGAACCGAAACCGAACAAAGTAGGAGAATTATTCTCCGAAGAAGAAGAGCTAACAAACAACAAAGATGAAGAAGAAGGAGAAGAAGAGGAGGAGGATGTTCTTCTCGAAGAATTTCTAGACGGTGCGTAATAATCATCCCTTAGTCCTCTCTCTCTCCTCTCTCTGTCTCTCTCCCTGTTTGTGGTCTGTTTTATGTAGCTTGAGTCTAGTTTCACTCTCTCCCTGTTTCTTTTCTGGCGATGTTCTTGATTCTACAGAGCTATTAACGGATGATGAAGACGGAGATGATGATTTTAATCTCGAGGAGGAGGAGTTCAATGAGAGTGAGGAAGAGCTCTATGTAAGTCTCTACTCATGATTAACTTGAGAGAGTAAGGAAAGAAAGATGGAATTTTTGCATAATATATGTATGTATGGATCTTTGAAAGGCGGGAGATGGAGGTGGTGGAGGAGGTATTGAGCTTGCTGGAACATTGTGGGACAAAGAAGCTTTGGCATTAGCTGAGAAAGTATGCGAGTCCTTTAATGGTGATTTAGGCATTTATGCTTTCAAGACTCTACCCAATTCCACCATACAAGTGCGGATTGAGCGGCTCACAAACAAATCCGGTTCTCCTACAATGGAAGACATTGAAGTATATTCAACAATCTACAGAGCAAAATTGTCTGAAGCTGAACTCGCCAAGTCCATACCGGACAATATCTCTCTAGAGGTTAGTCATATATAGACGTTGGTCCTTTCACAAATTTTGGTCTATTGACTCAACAGAATCTTGAACCTTGTGCACAGGTTTCATCTCCTGGTGTCGAAAGGGTAGTACGGATTCCACAGGACATGGACCGGTACAAGGACAGACCAATGTATGTAAGGTACGCTAACAAGGAAGCAGAGACCGAAGGTGATGGCATTTTCAGGCTGGTTTCTTTCGATGTGGAAGACAAAAGCTGCGTTTGGGGGATCGCAGATATTAGAGTAAACCGAGAGAAGGCAGGCAAAGGCAGACCTTTGAGCAAGAAGCAAAGAGAATGGCGACTCGAAACGTCTTTCGAGTCACTACGGTTAGTTCGTTTGCATTCTGAATGTTAAAACACACACGAAATCAAGGCAAAAGGAATATCTTTATTTAGTTTATTGCTGTGAGTACACAAAAGGCAACTAAAACACAAAAGTAGACATCATTGGTACGAGAATGGATTTCAAGCCCCCATGGTGATGATGCAACGGATACCCTCTCCCCTCGCCATGTAATCAAACGCCTTGTTGATCTCTGAGAAGGGCACTGAATGAGTGATGAACTTCTCAAGCTCCAACTCCTGTTGATAGAAATCACCAGAAAGAAAAACATTGATAATCTTTCTAAAGATCAAAACTTTTCAAGGAATGTTGTAAAAAGGAAAGGGATTGTCATTACCTTGTTCATGTACTGCTCGACGACCCCGGGAATGTCAGTTTTGGGTTTGTAGTTGCCAAAGAAAGTACCTTTGAGAGTCCTCTCATTCAGCAAATTCATCGGATGAGTCTTGAAGGCATCGTCTTTGCTTGGCACACCGACCAGCACGGCAACACCCCAACCCTGAAAACAACATCTTATGTATTAAGTTGGGATAAATGACAAGGGTCTGGTCGAGAAATCGATTTGAAAGGGAAGATTACATCATGAACACATTCAAATGCTTGAATCATGGCCTGAATGCTTCCAGTGCACTCCACACTCCGGTCCACACCACCGTCTGTCATCTCAGCGATCACTTGCTGAACTGGTTTGTCATGCTCTCTAGGGTTCACAAACTCAGTCACACCGAATTTCTTAGCTGCCAATAACATAAACAAACCTCAATGTAAGTAAGGAGACTAGAGAAGAGCACAAAAACAGAGACCATTATCATTCTTCATACCTTCCTCGAATCTGTTGGGGTTAAGGTCAACACCAATGATCCTCGCAGCACCAGCGATTCTAGCTCCTTCTGCAGCGGCTAAACCAACAGCACCAAGGCCGAAAATGGCAACACTTTGGCCTTTCTTTGGTTTAGCCACATTCAAAGTGGCTCCAAGCCCAGTGGATACACCACAGCTAACAATGCAGACTTTGTCAAGAGGAGCAGCCGGATTGATCTTAGCGACCTGACCAGAGTGCACCACAGTGTACTCACTGAACGTTGATGTCCCAAGGAAATGGTGAATCGGTTTGCCTTTGATGGAGAATCTCGATTCACCGTCGTGAATCATCGCGCCTCGCTCGGTGTTGATCCTGAGGAGATCACACATGTTTGATTCCTCCGAGTGGCAGTGACGGCAATCTCCACATTCTCCGGTGAAGATGGGCAACACGTGGTCACCTGGTGAAAGATCAGTTACTCCTTCTCCAACACTCTCAACAATCCTACACAACCAAAAAACAAATCTTTATCTCTAACCACTAAAACACCGAAATGAGAAAAGATTAGGCCTTTTATTGATTTTTACCCTCCAGCTTCATGGCCGAAAATACGTGGAAACAACGGCGTTTGTCCCTGCGGAATCAAAAATGTAAATTCAGAAATTTGTGATTCAGCTTCAGGATCAGAGATTGGTAATGAATTATGGGTCTCTAAAAGAATTTACCTTTGCTTCCCAGAAGTAAACATCGGTGTGGCAGAGAGAAGTGAAGAGAATCTTGATACGAACTTCGTGTTTCTGCGGCGGAGCAACCTCTACTTCCTCCATCACCAGTGGCTTTCCGGCTTCCCATGCCACAGCCGCTGCAAGCATCATAAAACGACACCGTTTGTAATTTCAATATAATCAACCGCATCATCATAGTTCATAAGAACCCGTATGGTTAAAAAAATCAAATCTCATTTAAAAAAAAACACTAATTAACAGAGAGTAAATCGATCATCGACGGATGGATTACTGTTTGAAAAAGAAAAGCCAGAATTTAAAAAAGATATAAAAACCTTTGCATCGAATAATCTGTCCGGTCGTAGACATTATCAACAGTGGTTATTAACTTGATCTTTAGTTTTGTTTGTGTGATTTGTGATTTGTGATTGTGAGAGAGGAGAGAAGTGATTTTTATAGCTGGTAAATGGAAGAGGTGTATTAACAGAAATGCCACTGGATTTAATTTTGTTGACGTGTAATCGTGTATAGATATTTTTCGGTTTGGCGTTACTAGGGGCGGTTTCGGCTTTGGTTTTGCCTTAGTCGGTCAAATAGTCTTACACTTGGCGTTGTTAGAATTCATCCACGTCAGATTGCTTTTCATTTTTTTTAATTAGTGCAATAAATTAAACTAAAACTCCGGTCTTAATTCTTTAGTCTTGGTGCTCACGCCGTGGTGTTTCTAAAAGCAGAAAGCGGATCAGCACCCACGGAATGCTTTGTTCCGGGCAGTTTTGTCTTTATTGGCTCTTAACAGTTAACGCTATTATTCTTGGCCATCAAGTTGAAAAAAAATTAATTTTGAAAATATGGAGCCATAATTAGCTATTCTTTGCCGTCACTCTCAAGTCTCAAAGATACGAGTATGAGTGTAGTTAATTGTTTCCTCGTCCCTTGTATTTCTTGCTGGAGTCACAGGACAGAAAATAAGATAATCAAAAGCTATTGATACGATTTGTACGTTTTCTAGTTATTACTTAATATAGACTACGAATTAATTGTTCTATATCGCTAAGTAAACGGTAAGATTTGTTATGAGTTGAAACAGAGTCATAGGAGGATGATGGAAATTTTAATTATTATTATTTTTTTTTTTTGAGAGTTTCATTAAGATTTCAAATATATATTTTGTTTTCAAATTAACTCGTGATCCATAATTGGATTTGATATTGATCGTTAACTATTACAAGAGTCTTCATGATGATTCCTATCTATATAAATCACGACTTCGCTATACATCATAAAAATCATTCAGCTCGAAGGAATCAAGGTGGAAATAATATTCACGATTAATTCCTACCTAAATTAAACCTCTAGTCACTACATACCCTCCATATATATGATCAATGTTTAATACATAATTTAAAACACGGCCCCTAACCATTTACCGGTAATTTCAATTCATCAATGTAACCGTTAATCTTTCTCACAAGCATTTTAGTAACAACACTTAAGAGCTCACGAATCTCTCTATTTCCACGGATTCTTTATTCATCGATCATGTGTGAATTATTTCCTCGTAGCGTTGTGAATCATAGGCCCAAGAGTACGTAGTAGAGAATAGTTACTGGTAAAGATACTATCATACCAAAGATAACCCTGAAAACAAAAACATATAAAAGTTCACATTAATCAAAAATCCCACATTTTTTCAAAACGTAAAAGTGATTTAAAAAATGAGCAACTCACAATGTACTGAGTAAGTCTGGATGCAAACCATACTCCCTCGCAAACACAAACGGTACTATCCCTTGCGGTAGAGCCGCCTATATGCATGAAACAAAAACATATCGGCCTCGTCGAGTTCACTAATATACTTCTAATTAATCAAAATTAATTAGAAAAAAGAACTATAGCCAGATGGTATATAATATATATATATATATGTTATGGTATACTAAATCGAAGCAAACTCTGAATACTAGATATGATGAACCAATTTTTACCTGTACGATGGCAGCATGTAACCTAGAACCTTTCAATCCGACAAGAATGGAAGCAGCAGCCATGAAAAGGGGACCTGAGATGAACCTAATCAACATCCCCATTGTCGCTTTCTTCACCCCACAAGTTATCATCTTTGGCTGCAGCGCCATGAATAGACCTGTCAATTTGAATGTGTTGAGCATTTGTATATACTTATAAACAAAATGATTTTATCTAGCTATCATGTAGGGAATTATCAGTCATACCTAAACTAAACATGGCCATTCCAAGTCCTGCATCTGATATTATCTTTATTGAAAATGCCACTATATTTGGCAGCGCTATATTCCATCTGCTCATTATTTATTTTAAGAAAAAAGACAGTAAGAGTTAACAATCAAAATTAAGGATTATAGACGGATGTAAGTAACTGTTAATTTACTTACCTGAAGGATATAAGTGACCACACAAGGCCTAAGAGGCTGGAATAAGTGTTAGGGTTTCGAGAAAGCTTGCGTCCCACGACAGTTAGTATGAGCCGCACCATCACAGTGGCACTTGGCATTTCTTGCTTGCCAATAGCAGCCACCGGAGCTGTGTTTTTCGCGGCCGCTCCTTCCTCCATGGAAGCAGCAGCACCGGCGGCCGTAGACGGTGGCGCAGCCTTAAGTGCGTCTCTGAAGCTGATCTCCTTCTCTGGTACTCATAGATAATCAGATTTACAAGTCAGCCAATACAGACACCAATATATAGTTTATATTTTTTTTTAAGAAACTAATTATAAGTCGTTTGTTAGTAAATAGTTGTGGAATTTACTAATTGAAACAGATAATTAAAAGAAAGAAATATAAAATCAGGCGTCGGTTTTGCTGATGATTACACACGTGCTGGACGAAAATGATAGTATCTCTCTCCCAGATAAAAAAAGTTTGACTTGTGAGAACCAAAAATATCGTGGGATACAAAAAGTCAACATCTTGTTGACCATTTTCGTGATTTTTATTGATTATAATAACTTTGCGGGTGGTATAATGGGTCCGCTTTATTTACATGCTTCATCATGTTGTTTCATTATTGAAAAAAAAAAATAATCAAGCTAACAAAATTGAAAAGTATGATTTTACCAAAAAAAAAAAAAAATTGAAAAGTATGCGCAACAAAAAATAAAACAAAAACATAATTGGGATTTAGTGATTAATATTGCTTAGAATATTATTATTTTTCGCAGAATTAGAATGAATTTTTTTATCTAGTATGGGATTTGGACAAAAAAAAAGGGAGAGACAAAAGCTAAGTTTTTATCTGGAAAAGCTGCATTTTATGGAGTCTCTCAATGTTTTTCCTAGTCATCGAATTTTGTTATAAACAAAGACAAACCAATAGAAAAATCTTTTGATAATAAATTAAATTAATACATGAAAGATGATGAAAATGACCAAGCGGCGTCGTGTCAGTGTTACGAAAACGAGAAAACGACACATCTTTCAAAAGAAAAACGTACCATTGATAGTATCCTTGGCTATATGTCTCTGCCCAGACTCCCACGTCATCTTCGGCGACGA